CTCAGACTTGCATGTCCAAGTCTCTTGTGCCAAAGGAGGGGATCATTGTCCAACACACTTAAGCAAGTGAGTTCATTTTCTGAAAGTGTGGACAAATCTACAATGTATGTATTGTTTACTCTTTTTCCCTGCAAAACAATCTTGTCGGTGGTAAAATTGATCACAAAACATTTGGTAGAGGTGAATGCTACCAAGTTACCTCTATCAAGTAGATATTTTCAATAGAGTGAGAATCAGTCTTACCTACCTTTCCAACCCTAATGATCTCACCTTTCTTCCCATTTCCAAAGGAGACATTACCTCCTTTGAGGTCCTTAAGTGAAAGGAATTGGTTCTTGCTTCCTGTCATATGCTTTGAATAGCCACTATCCATGTACCATATTTGGCTGCTCCCCTTCACTTGGACGCGCAAAAGGAAATCAGGGGTTAGTTTTAGGAACCCAAACTAGTTTGGGTCCCTTTCTATAGGCAAAAGGGTGAATCAGATTCTTTTTAGCCCAACCTGGCAGCCTATTTTTCAAATTCTTTATTCTTTTAACTAGCCTTTTTCTTTTGCAATACATTCACTTTTATAGTGACCATTTTTACCACAGTGTGTGCAAATTATGTTCTCAGGAAGTGTGAGGTAATTGCTTTTGGGATCCCACTTAGGTGCAGGGGTCCCGTAGCCAAGTCCTCTCTTATTTCTACTATGGTGTTCATGTAGCCATGAAAGTGCATCGGAGGACCTATTCCATTTACAGGTTATGTCTAGCTCGTGCTTAACCTTGCTTACATCCTCCTTAAGGACTCTTATCTGCTCATCTCTTTTGTACAACTCGTCTTTCATTTTTCCTAGGTTTTCTTCTAATGTGAGTTGTGTGTGATCAGCTTTCTTTTTACCTGTTCCTAATTTCAGTTTTAGATTTTCAGATCTTAGCTCTAGGACAGTGGTGTTAAGTTCATGAACCTGGTTCTTTAACTCAGCATTTTTACTATCACTTTCACTAGCCCTAAGTTCCAGATTTTTGCACTTAGCTTTCAAAATCACACACTCCTTAGACAACTGTTCCTATTCATTGTTTAGATCCTCTGATTCATCAATGAAATCCAGGAGTAACTCAGATAGCCTTTCTTTAGACAAAAATTTAATCTTGTCTTTGAGATGAATTATACTTACCTCTGATTCTTCATCGAATTCTCCAATTACCATAAGTGCTTGTTCATCTCCATCTTCATCCTTTGAGTCCTCATCTGAGCTTTCTCCCCAAGCAGAAACCATAGCCTTTGTTGATCCTTTGTTCTTCTTGGGTTGAACCTGTTCCTTCTTCTCGTTCCTTCGTTCAGTTCTTTCCTTCTTCCATTCAATTTCCCATTGAGGGCAGTTTTTGATGTGGTGATCAGTCTTCCCACACTTGTAACACCCCTCATTGGTTTGTTTTTCAGGAACCCTTGGTTTGCTGTAGCTTCCACTTCTTGAAGGACCCTTTCCTCTCATTAGGTACTTCTTGAAGTCCTTTGTGATCATGGTCGTTTCATCCTCCTCTAGATCAGCACCTTCAGTGATTCTGAGTGCCAGGCTCCTTTCCTTCTTGGGTGCATCCATCTTCATGGTTTGCCTTCTAAGTTCATAGGCAGTGAGATTTCCAATTAGCTCATCCAACTTAAGAGTGGCAATGTTCTTTGATTCCTGAATAGCAGTGATTTTGCTTTCCCAAGAGACTTGCAGAACCCTTGTCAAAATCATCTCAACTTTTTCTTCTTCAAGAATAACCCTTCCAAGAGACTTAAGTTCATTTGTCAGTGTGGTGAACCTTGTATACATCTCTCGGATGGTTTCCCCTTCCTTCATGGTGAAATTCTCATATTGAGAATATAGCAGTGTTCCTCTGGACCTCTTCACTTGAGGTGTTCCTTCATGAGCCACTTGCAAAGTGTCCCAGATTTCCTTAGCAGTGGTACAACTTTGAATTCTACTGTACTCGTCTGGACCAAGTCCACACACAAGCCATTTCTTGGCCTTAGCATTCTTTTCCTATTTCCTCAAGTCCACAACATTGCAGTCAGCTCTTGTTTTTGGCACGTCTACTCCTTCAGCATTCTTCTTCATGGTAGCTAGGGGACCATCAGTGACAATGTCCCATAGCTCATAGTCTTCTCCGATGATGTGATATCTCATCCTATTTTTCCACCAAGAGTAGTACTGGCCATTAAAGAGTGGAGGCCTATCTGGATTGCCCCTCCCAGTTTCCAGGTGGTGCACTCATCTTGATCTGTTCCTAAGGTGTTAGCCTCTTCATGGATAACCTGCTCTGATACCAATTGATGTTTTATACTTTAATACCACACAAGAGGGGGATGATTTGTGTGGTGTCCAATTTTTCGCTTTAACTGGAAGGACCTAGTTCCTCTATGTGTTTCTTCTGCTACTGCTGCGGAATAATAAATGTAGAAAGTAAACACAAATATTTTTATGTGGAAAACTCCCGGCTCAAAAGGTGAAAATACCACGACCCACTACTCAGTAGGATTTTCCCCAACACTTCATTAAATCACTGAGCCAAAATAGCATTTACAAAACTCTTTGTAAACCTAAGGATTACCTCTAATCCCGTTGTAGCAACCAACCTCTAACTGCTACGACAACTTCAAGTTAACTCTAACTTGAATACTAAAATAACCTATTACAATTGCTTCTAGATAAAGCTGAAAGGTACAATATGAAAACACCTACTACAATTGAATTAGAAATAAAGAAAGACACATAAAACTCTTTATGGAGCTCGTTCTTCAATCTAGTTCATGTAGCTTCAGGTTTGCACACGTGAATCACACACGAACTGCTTGCAAAAAGCCTTGCTATTTTGCTCTCAATTTACCTTTAACTTCTGTGTTTTTGTGCAACACATGTAATGTGAGAACATCTGCAATTTATAGAGTTAGTAGATGAAGAAATAGCTAGAGTTTTGATGCAACTCTTCCTTGGTGGAAGAGTTCTAGTTGATCTCAACTTCTAACTCCTTCCCTATCTTGGATAATGTTCTCTTTGAGTAAGGAGTCCTTCTCCTTATCAATTATGCAACCTTTTCGATAAGGAGATATTAAATACACCAAGTTAAGATTATCTCCTTCACGTGCATCCCACATGCTCGAATCTGCCCGTTTTTGTGCACCTGAGGGATGGACCCAAGGGATGGACCCGGTTCATGCCTGAGTTCCTTTGTCAGTCTTCAAAACTAACATTTACTTGGGCCAACAGCCATGCCCACCTTCTCCTTAATATCTTCTTTCCTAGTCTCATCCATCCTAGTGTGCTCGCACATCCACCTCAACATCCTCATTTCTGCTACTTTTATCTTCTGTATATGTGATTTCTTGACCGGCCAACACTCTACCCATAAAACATGGCCGATCTTACCACCGCTCTATAAAACTTACTTTTGAGTATCAATGGGACTTTCTTGTCACATAAAACTCCAGATGCTAACCTCCATTTCATCCAACCCACCCCTATACGGTGTGTGACATCCTCGTTGATCTCCCCATCCTCCTGGATAACCGACCCAAGGTACTTGAAACTGATTCTCTTGGGGATGACCTGTGATCCAAGCCTCATGTCCATGACTGCTTCTCTCGACTCGGCTCTAAACTTGCATTCCAAGTATTCTGTACTCAAGGGCATGTCTCCAAACCTCCAGACTCTTATTAACACTGCCTTACGTCTCATCAATCAGAACTCTGTCATCATCATATAGCATACACCATGGCAACTCCCTTTGAATGTCATGTTAGTGCGTCCATCACTAGGGCAAATAAGAACGAGCTGAGCGCAGATCCTTGATGTAACCCCATAACAACCGATAAATGCTCTGAGTCTCCTCCCACTATCCTAACCCGAGTCTTAACTCCGTCATACATGTCCTTGATTGCTCTAATGTAATCTACTGGCACACCTTTTACCTCCAGGCATCTCCAAAGAACCTCCCAAGGGACCTTGTCATACGTTTTCTCCATGTCAATAAATACCATGTGTATATCCTTCTTCCTATCTCTGTATTATTCCACCAACCTCGTAATAAGGTGGATAGCTTCCATGGTCGAACGATCCGGCATGCCTGAACTGGTTGTCGGATATAGACATTGTCTTCCTCACCACCACCCTCTCCCAAACTTTCATGGTATGACTTAGTAACTTGATACCCCTATAGTTCTTACAACTCAGGATATCACCTTGTTCTTGTACAGCGGTACCACTGTACTCCACCTCCGCTCATCTGGCATCCTCTTCATCCTAAAAATAACATTAAACAGCCCAATTAGCCACTCCAAGCCTGCTCTACCCACAAACCTCTAAAATTCTACTAAAATTTCGTATGGCCTTGTTGCTCTGCCCCTACTTATCTTATGCATAGCCTCCATGACCTCCTCAACCTTAATACGCCTACAATACCTAAAGTCTCGATGACTCTCAGAATGCCCCAAGTCACCTAGCATAGCATCTCGATCCCCCTATTCATTTAGAAGTCTATAAAAGTACGTCTGCTCTATCCGCTTAACCTGAGACTCCCCTATCAATACTCTACTGTCCTCGTCTTTAATGCACCTCACTTGATCCAGATCCCGAGCCTTCCTCTCTCTCGCCTTAGCCAGCCGAAATAACTTCTTATCCCCACCTTTGTCCCCCAGATCCTCGTACAACTGGCCAATCGCTGTAGTCTTGGCCTCTATGACGTCCAATTTTGCCTCCTTCTTCGCTACCTTATACCTCTCCATGTTCGCTCTCCTCTCCTCCTCGCCTGAGTTCCCTACTAACTTCAAGTACGCCGCCTTCTTCATTTCCACTTTACCTTGGACCACATCATTCCACCACCAGTTGCCTATGTGCTCGCCAGAGAAACCCTTCGAGACCCCTAGCACCTCTCTCGCCGACTCCGTTACACAGTTCCCATCATTGTTCACATAGAGCTTGCATACCCACTACTCATCCAGGCTCCCATAGCCGATAGCCTCTCCTCCGACTCCTAAGCTTTATCCTTAGTCAAGGCTCCCCACCTGATCCTCGATCGTCCTCGAACAGACCTCTTCTTCCTCCTTATCATGATACCGACGTCCATCACCAAGAGCCTATGTTGTGTTGCGAGGGTCTCGCCTAGGATAACCTTGCAATCCTTGCACAACCCTTTATCACACCTCCTGAGGAGGAGATAATCAATTTGAGTCTTTGCCACCGTACTTTGGAAAGTAACCAAATGCTCCTCCTTCTTCGAAAAACTAGAGTACATAATCACCATTTCAAATGCCTTAGCGAAATCTAATCGCGAAATTCCTCCTCCAATTCTGTCCCCAAAATCGAAGTCGCCATGCACCTCGCCATAGCTACCAGCAGTCGACCCGATACGTCCATTGAAATCCCCTCCTATAAATAACCTCTCAGCAGGCGGAATACTATGCACAATCTTATCCAACCCCTCCAAGAAGCGCCTTTTAACCTTCTCATCCAAGCCTGCTTGCAGCGCATAAGCGCTATGACATTTAGGGTGGACTCTCCAACCACTAACTTAATAGCCATTAATCTATCATTCACCTGCGTAACCTCTACCACAGACTCTCTAAGTTCCCTATCCATTAAAATACCCATTCCATTCTTACCCTTCCTGACTCCAAAGTACCACAGCTTATACCCGTCTGCATCCCTCGCCTTCGATCCTACCAACCTAGTGTCCTAGATAGAAGCAATATTGACCTTCCTCTTCTGGAGTATCTTCTCCAACTCTATAGACTTATCCGTCAATGTACCAATGTTCCATGACCCTATCCTCAACCTATAGGCTCCCTTATTTCCCTTAACCCCTTGCCTCCCATCCCACCCCTGTCCCCTACCCACACCCTACTGCACTCCCACCCCCGCCCCCTGAGGACATGACCTTACTCTATTTTCCCAGACCAAAACCACTATACCTAGGACATACTAAGGAAAAACACTAACACAAAATAGGCAACGGACCAAACTAGAATATAACAAGTTATAACTACCGGCACGTTAATAGTATGATTAAACTATTGCTAACTAAAATGGCCACAATTTAACTAACACAACGAAGAGAAACAGAAAAGCGGGAGGTACCAACTCCCGAGGGTAGAACTTGGAAACTTTACTTGGAGCACACCCGAGATCGTGCCAATGCAATTAAATTCAAGTCAATGCAAGAATGCTACTTATTAAAAAAGTAAAAACAGAGCAAGAATGTTAAAGCGAATAAATGAAAGACCAATGCAACTACTAAGCAAAAAGATCAATCAATTTAACAGGAAAGATGGAACATGGCGCCTCTGTCGTCTTTCAAAATACTTTAAAAATAATAGAATATAATTTTAAAAATATATAAAAGTGTTATTTGACCTAAATAACATAATGAAGACAATTATTCAAAGATAGTGGCTACTATTGCAAATGACATGCAAAATGATATAAAATGCAAATATAATTATATAAACGGAAGTAAAAATATTATAAAATATGCATGTAGGTAAAACAAATTAATCTGGACAATTGTCACCCAAAAAATAATTTTGAAGGAGTAATTAATAAATATTTATCAATTAAAATGCCAAAAATCAAATCTTAAAGCTTTAAAAAGATAGAAATTATTTGTATGAACTCTTGTAATATAAATTTGATAATAATACAAAAAATAATATTTTAAAAAATATATGAAATACTTTATCAAATACGAGTGCAAAATTGAGTATCAACAACAACAATAACAGCAGAACACTGGCATATAGGGAAAACAACTCAAATACTAATAGTCTCAACTGGAACACAATTAGATGAGAAATAGGCATACTTTTCGGATATAACAGTTAAGGAATCAACTCCTCCATATAATTTACTTAGACAAGTATTTGACAAGATAAAACTGTAATATCAAGCTTTAAACAAGAGATATAGACATCAAATACCAATTAGCATGAGGAATAATTATGCCTGCATGTCAGTTATACATGTCAAATCAACAAAGAGTCACTGTTTAAATATCAAGTATACATAATCTCAGCACATTCGTAGTGTCTGGCACAAAGTACCCCTGAATCATACTCTCAGGGTGCCCGACAAAGTACCCTGAATCATACTCTAAGCACTCTCAGGGTGCCTGGAAAAATGCCCACGGACACACACACACACACACACACACACACACACACACACTCAGCATTTTACGGGTACCTGACATAAGTCTCTCCCTAAGCACATATATGACTCGTATGCTTGCACCCATAGGTTAATACCTGACTCCGGAGGGGCGGTTCCTAGCCCAAGAGTAGATCGGATCTAAGTCAACGATCAATATCAATTAGCCCAATATGGGGGCCTAGTGTACGTGTCACCTCACTATCAATACCACTCAGCCCAACATGGGGTATGGCGTACGCCTCACCTCACTATCAATACCAACACGACTCTATGTTCCAAGATCAGTCATCAATCCGCTCAAAGTCTCCAGATGCTAACATCTCACAAAAATATGATTCAACATATCATATGGAAAATACCAACATGCCACAATTCAACTCAAATGTGTCACACACAAGGACACCAACTACATGTGAGATATCATATAAAAAGTGCATAGAGACAGAGATATAAGACGCGGAAATTATTTCATGACTGAAGAGTATGACTACGACTATGGACAATAGCTCAACATAGCAAAAATCGCCCTATGATTCCTCAACAAATAAGCAAATAGCCTAGACATGATTTCTAGCATGAATGATAGCTCAGGTAGTCAGAAAATGGAGAAAACACAATATTAAGGAAGCACGATAGAAAACAAGGCATATAATAGCCTAAGGTCTATGTAGATCATGAATAACCACGGTTCACACATATACGCTCGTCACCTCGCATAAGTGTCACCCTAACATATAACAAATATCATAGCCAAAGGGGAAAATACTCTCAATCCAAGCCTAGGCAAGATACTTACCTCATTTGGGCTAGTCTTCAACCTCGAATCGTGTCAAAACCTCAACCTAGCCATCCAATCGTGCAAATTCAAACCAAACATCATCCAAGGAAGTCAACAACGCCATAGGAAGAAATCCTAATTCATAAAGCTTCAATTTTTGAAGAAATTTCTGTGATTCATGCCATGTCGGATGAGCAAGATATGCGTCCCGATTTCATTGGCTAAAGACCGCCGCATCTCCCTCTATATAGCGCTCTAAAACTCAACAAAAGTCAACCTGAGCCCACGTCCCCGAAATCCAAAATTAATACCAAAATATAAAGACCTATAACCTGCCAAGTCCATATATGTAATTAGTTTTCAAAACTGAGTCCAATTCAGTACTTAAATATAAAAAATACACTCTCTTAAAGGGTAGGCGAAACCCTAAATTTCTTCCTTAGATTCACCAATCAAATGCCAAAATCAAAGTTAGAATCATGAATAATAATAAAATCCGAGTTAAGAACACTTACCCTAACCTTGTGTGTGAAAATCACCTAAAATATTGCTCCAATCTGAGCTCCCAATCTCAAAATATAAAATAATGAGCTAACCCTTCGAAGATATACCTCTGTCAGTCATCCTCGTATATGCGGTCACTAGGCCTCAAGTGCGACGTCGCTTCTACAATCTCAACCTCACTTCTGCAAACTCCAGCCCACATGCCAAACATTGCTTTTGCGATAAAGCCTTCGTAGGTGCGGCACTACAGGTGCAAACGACCTCCCGCATCTACGGTCCTCCCTCGGTGTTGATGACAACCTCGCATCTGTGGTCCACCCTCCGCAGATGCAATTATGACACAACAAAACCCCCGCATCTGCGACATTATCCCAACATGACCAACAAGCACTTATGCGCACAAAGCACCGCAGATGCGACTCTACATTTATGCAACGACTCTCGCATGTGCGAATACACCAGAACCAGTTGTGCAATCACAACCCAAAGTGGTCTGAAACCACCCTGAAACTCACCGAGCCCCACGGGACACTGTCTAATCATACCAATAAGTCCAAATACATTATCCAAAGTTTTAAAACACCACGATTAACATCAAAGTCAAGAATCATAGGTCAAGATCATTCTCTTAACTTTCAAATATTCAACTTCGTCGAACACATCCGAACCACGCTTACATATTTCGGATCTCAACCAAACCTTACACACAAGTTCCAATCAACAAAATGAACCTATTCCAAGTTCTTTATCAACAACCGTACTCGATACCATCAAAGTCAACTCCCGGTCAAACTTGCAAACTCTCAAATTCTTAAAATTGTAACTTTCGAAAAATAGGGCCAAAACCTTGTAGGAACATCCAAATTCAAATCGGAATACAGTCCATCAAATGTCTATTCCAAGATTGTTTACTCAAAAGTCATACCTTGGTCAACTCTTCCAACTTAAAGCTTCTGAATTGAGAATTACTCTTCCATATCCACTCTGAACATCTCAAAAATAAAAACCAACCATACACGCAAGTCATAATACACCATATGAAGCTACTCAAGGTCTCAAATCGCCGAATAAAATTCTAATGCTCAAAACAACCGGTCGGGTCGTTACATAAACTTGAATGATCGAAAAGATGATGTGAGAGGAAGAGATTGTCCCACTAGGTGTGCTAAAATTGGTAAACAATAAAATTCGTGTCAAGAAAATAATCTAGACAAAACAAATATTACAACACTTGCAGTATTTTATTTTGAGTAATATGAGTGTACAATCTCTATGAATCCTCTTATTCTTCTTTTCTAAGATAGATAAATTCCTAGGCTTTTGAGTTTGATCTTAAACTTATGCTTGTTTCCCCGAACGATGATCGTCAATTCAACTAGCACAAACTTTAATTTGAACCCGCACTCCTTAAACCTTGATTTGTCCTTCGTTCTTGAGTTAGAACTTGATTTCTTGATTTTAATCTTGGTTGCTTGAAGCTTGAATCTTGATGAGAAATTTGATGGCATTTGATTCATGAGCTATGTAACAACCCAACCGGTCATTTTCTGTAATTGCGCCCCGTTACCCCTTTTGATGCTACACACATTTATGCTTATAATTTTATAACTTACGGGGTTGTTTAGTTTCATTCCGAGAAGCTTTCGGGTTGTTTTGGATCCTTTGATTCTTGACTTAGAAGCCTAAGTTAGAAATGTTGACCAAACTTTGAATTTTGGGGAAATGACCCTGGGATAATGTTTTGATGGATCCGATAGCTTAATATCATGAATTTGGACTTGGTCATATGCCCGGAATTGATTTCGGAAGTCCGTAGGTTGATTTGTGTTGCTTTATCAAAATTTGGCAATTTGAAGTTGAAAAGTTTGACCGTAGGTTGACTTTTAGCTATCGAGCTCAGAATTTGATTTTGGAACTTGGAATAGGTCCGTTATGCATTTAGAACTTGTCTGCAAAATTTGGTATCATTTGGAGTTAATTTGATAGGATCCGGACGTTTAGTTGTAATTCTAAAGATTCTTCAACTTTACTTTGAAATTCATGCGTTTCAGTGTTCAATTCATAGTTTTAGATGTTATTTTTGTGTTTTGATCACGCGAGTGAGTTTGTATGATATTTTAAGACTTGTGTGGATGTTTGGTTTGGAGCACTGAGGGCCCGGTGAAATGACCCGGCCGATCGTTTTAAGAATTAACGCCCCGATCCCCTATTAAC